CACTCTTTCTGAGTCCCCAGCTCATCTCCTGGACCTTGGGAAAGGTGTTGCCTGCCAGGCGCCATCTCCAACTGCATTTTATAGTAGGGTTACTTCTCAGCAATCTCCTCAACATGCAAAATTAATCAAGTAATCAATCGTCACTTTATAGTATTCCAGCGGCCCCTGGGTAAATAGTTACATTAGCTCATAAAATCCCCAATTTGTCTTCCTGAGCAGAAGGAAAAAAAACATCAGAGAACCACTAAAGGTCTCCTGTTTCGGAGCCACAGCACTGCTGGCTCCAGATTGCCTGGCCAGGGGCTCGGGGAACGGGAGGTCGCCCGCTGGCCTCAGCCAGGGCCGGGCAGCTCAGGCTGCCTCCTGCTACGGCCGGGGCCACAAGCGAAGTTTCCGGACCTGTGATTTGCTTCAGGCTCAGAACCCACAAAAAAAGCAAGGGTCAACGGGGTGACAAGATTGGCAATCAGCTCTTGACACCTCAAGGGCAGAATGGAGACTGCAAGGTTCAGAATCAGGCAGCAATCCCCACTTGGTCCTGCTTCTCAGCTGCTGGGTGACCTCAGCACAGCACTTAACCTCCTGACCTCAAGTTCCTCAACAGAAAAATGGGGCTCAGGCAATGTACCTCAGAGGATTATTAAGAGAACAAAATGAGATAATGGCCATGAGACTGAGATAGTGCAGTGTTGTGCTAGGGATAGTTGCTATTTCTAAGGTAGGGTCACCCCACTGACCTCCATCCCTTTGAAGAGATGGAGGGGAGCCTATGGGTCCTTAGCGTTTCACCCCACCAGGACCAGTAGGGCACCTTTGTGAGAATTAGGAAAAGGTGCCCCCAGGTTAGAGGCCTGCCCCTGGGTGCAGGCGTGGCAAAGCACAGATTGGATTTTGGCCTCCATGCATTCCCTGAGCTGGCAGCCGCTATGCAGGACACAATACGCACAAGTCTAAGTGGAGACCCTGGGTCATCTCTGCCGTGAACCAGGAAGAGAAGAGGTTAAGCCAAGTGGCACTTTTACAAACAAAATTTTTGATGTTGGGCTTACTCCCTCACTTGAAGTATCCTAGAAAACAGCAGCTTAGCAGAGAGACCTTCCTGGACCAGCCTCTTTAAATTAGCGACTTCATCTTTACCTGCTTCATTTTTCTCCACAGCACTTATTACCCACCACTTGATACAACAAACATGTTATCATATACATACATATATAAGATGTATATATGTTTGTATATATGTGTGTATATTTATCTATATATAGATATATATAAAGATACCTATATTTTTTTAGTTCCTTGTCTTCCCCTGTCCATAATAAAAGATCCATGAGGACAGGGATGGTCTTCTGTTTTGTTCACTGTTTTATCCCTAGTACCTAGAACAGTGCCTGGTACATTGTAGGTTCGCGATAAATAAATATTTGCTGAGTGAGTGACTGAACTAAAATATTATTAAATAGAATAAATTTAATGATATCTTCCTAGAAAATGCTGCCCTGTGCTTTGGTTCAAACACCAGTTATGTTCAAAGGTGTGGGGTAGGCAGAAGAAACAGAGGCAGGGAAACCCTGTGTATTTGGTAGGGATAACACTATTAGCCTTTTGTGTTGTGTAATATTCCATATAGATCAATGATCAGAAACCCTACTTAAGTCTGGCTGATTCTTTTACATATTCAAAAGCGATAAAGGATAAATTCATTTGGAAGGGGTGCTACTAATAAAGAAAAAGTCACATTACCTCTGCGCAAAAATAAGCAATAGCCCCATTAGGAAATACGAGATCTTCAAGTGAAGAAATTCTGGGATGGGACCCAGCATGTTCCAATGCAGTATGCACGGGCTGTGGAGTCTGAAAGCCCCAAGTTCAAATTCCAATGAGCTGACAAGCCCTATGACCTTGCACAAACTGCTTAATCGGTCAGGCCCTAAATTTCCTTCACATTAAAATGTATATAACATCGACATGTACACACTGCTATGTTTAAAATGGATAACCAACAAGGACCTACTGTATAGCACAGGGAACTCTGCTCAATGCTGTGTGGCAGCCTGGATGGGAGGGGAGTTTGGGGGAGAATGGATACATGTATATTTATGGCTGAGTCCCTTTGCTGTGCACCTGAGACTATCACAACATTGTCGATTGGCTATGCTCCAATATAAAATAAAAAGTTTAAATAAATAAACAAAATGTACATAACAATACCTATCCTGTATTGATGCTGTAAGAATTACATGTTAAAAAGACTAAATAAGAAAATATATGTGAAAATACCTTAGAAAGATGATACCCCCTTCTTATTTGGTAGGGTTACTCTTAACCCAAAGTTCTAGACAGTTTAGAATGGTTTCCAACCATTCTATATCACCTGACACTTCTTATCTATAAATGGTTGTTCCTCTCATATGCATCTATGTGTATGTGTGTACACATATATGTGTCTATACACACACATTGCTTACAGTTAGGACTCTGGATGAGTATCTATTTGTCGATTGACAAAAACCATTCCTCTTTGTTTTTCTTTTCTTTCTTTCTTTCTTTCTAACAGTGAACATGTATTAGTTATCATAAGCATTGGGAAAAAAATATGGCTAATTCCACTGTGGAAAAGTAAAGTCATTTCTTAGAATATAAAGAAAGAAACCTTCTTTTACCCACATCATATTTTCCATGCTAAGTATATCATATCTTCAACTTTCAACCACATGAAGCTTTAGAAGATAAGCAGATTTATGAAGACAAAAGGGGAAAATGCTTATTAAATTGGAGAATACATATCCTAAGAAAATCTTTTAAAAATAGTTTCAAAAACTGCACAATTTCCACTTCTTTAATTCACGCAGAAATATTAAGCAGAAGAAAGTAATTGTATAAGCATGGGAACCACATTCCTTCGATTTTAATATGGTTCTTCAAAGCCAATACAAATCCTTCAATTCAAGGCATTTCTTATAAACCTAAATCAATGAAAATGCAATGTACTTAGATTTTTGTTCTGTTTACAGTCCCTAGGAAAAGGTCTTCCTCAGAGGCAAACCATGCACAATCTGGCAGAGGGGAAATTTCCACAGCAGCTGTGGAAGACTCACCTGGACCTTGACTGACATCTGTGGCAGCATTTTCAAAGGGAGGGAAAGGGAGAGGAGAGAAAGAGGGAGAAAAGGGAAGAAAAGTGTTAGCAGCACACACACACACAATACACTGTGTCCTTGCATGGCTACCAAGTTCATGCAAGACTCCAAATATGCTCAGACTCTGAGCACTCAGTTCTACCGTCACCCAAAAACCACCCATGCAAGCCGAGGGGCCAAGCTCCCTTTTCACTGTGCATGTAGCAAGAGAGGTGAGCTTCACATCTGTCCGGAAAGACATCATCCTGGAATCAGATAGGGCTCCAAAGAGCTAAGCAGACTGGAATCCTGCAAGAATATTGGTTAAAATATTCTGGTTGATTTCTGCAATCCAACACCCAAGCAAATCCTCCTCCCCTCCAGTTACAGAACACTGGACATGAAGTCAAGCAAGGTTTCCCCACAGAGAGAAAAGATAATAATAAACCATTCCCTTGAGGAACAAAGGAAAAGGCATAAGAATTAAGAGCAAGTTGCAGCGTTATTCACTTCATAAGACTGGAGGACACAAGATCACAAAGCATTTATAATTCCCCCCCTCCCCAGTATTCCCAGTGACCATTCTTCATCACAGACAGCAGTGTGTGTGCATGAGATTGTGTGTGAGTAGATCACTTGCCACACAAATTGAAATTCTGCCTCTCCTAATTTTTCTCCTTGCATTTCACACCATCATTAATGACAGAAAGTGCCATTTGAAATCTCTTCTGACAACTACAAATAAACATCCAGCCTTGGGAAGGTTGACATTTGAATTAAACCAATGAACTTTCAAAAAGTGAAGGACGGTCCACTCCCATCATCTCCATGAATACAATCTCCCCCTCCTCCCCTCAAATGTAAAATAGAATTATGCTGGGGAAGCCCAACCAAGAGCAGCCCAAAGCATTGTTAAAATCCCTAGACCTGACCTGGTAGGATATACTACAGCTTAGGAAAAGGAATGGGGTTACTTCACGAAACCACTGGCCATCCAGGCCATCCTGGGTGACTCCCTTAGAATCACTGAATGGTGGGTCTGGGACATCCGTAGACATTATCTAGTTCAATCCTTTTTTGCTAAGATGAAGGATGAAGAAAGGTTGAGAGACTTGTCCAAGGTCACACAGCTAGTTCAGGGAAGGGATCCTAGAAAAGACCCTGGATCTCTTGAATCCCACCCAATTCAATGTTCATTCAACTGAAACCCAGGTCCCTCCAGGGCATATGGGACTGGAATTCAGTTTGCAAGCTCAAGTGAGCACCTGAAGCCATGAGGAAGTGGTGAGAGCCTCCCAGTTACCCTATGTGCTTCTAATCTACAGCAATCAGATTTGCAGAGTTCCAGCGAGTTCCTTAGGGCTCTTGCCCCAACAGAATCCAGGCGCTGACTTAACCTGCAGCAACAGCCGGGCATTTCTCCAGCCCACACCCTGCATTCCCTGGAAGCTGTATTTGCTCAATGAGACTTACAGAGAGCTCTGAATCATTCCTCAGCCACACCCACTTCCAGGTTTTCTGGTGAGTTGTTAGATTTAGGGGTGGAGTAGCAGCATGGAGGAAGAAAAGAGGCAAAACAGAAGAGGTGGAAAGGCAAAACACGCTGCGTAAATAAAGCAGAGCCATTAACCGTGACTGATGGACTGCCTAGAATAGTGGTCGTAAAAATACCCCTTCATTAAGCAGGGTATCCAACTATTTACACATGGTGGAGTTCAGTGGTGAAAGTGTCAACACTGTTGTTCATAGAAACGCACTCTTCGTGGGCACCAAGACCCAAGGGAGATAGGACACCTTGGAACCCCAAAGTTCTTCTGACACTAAGTTGGGCACTGTATTTACAATCCTAAATTATGGAGACAGATAGTCCAGGTTCAAATCCTGACCTGCTTGATGACCTTGAGTTAATCAGTGAATTTGATTGTTTCCTTCAGCTATAAGATGGGAAGATAACACAGCTTCCCTAGTGATAGTGTTATGATAATTAAATGAGATTAAATACTTGTAAATCACTTAACTCAATACAAGGCAAACACTGCATAAACGTTAGCTGCGCTGATTGTTACCATTTTGAATTACCTCGGACAGAATTACCCAAATATGTTGACCAGATGGCTCCCTGAAAACACCAAGAGACCACAGGAAATTTTTTTTTAATTTATTTATTTATTTTTGGCTGCGTTGGGTCTTCATTGCTGTGCGTGGGCTTTCTCTAGTCGCGGCAAGCAGGGGCCTCTCTTCGTTGCGGTGCGCAGGCTTCTCATTGCGTTGGCTTCTCTTGTTGCGGAGCACGGGCTCTAGGCTCGCGGGCTCAGTAGTTGTGGCTCACAGGCTCTAGAGCACAGGCTCAGTAGTTGTGGCGCACGGGCTTAGTTGCTCCGCGGCATGTGGGATCTTCCCAGACCAGGGATCCAACCTGTGTCCCCTGCATTGGCAGGTGGATTCCTAACCACTGCACCACCAGGGAAGCCTGACAACAGGAATTAAGTTGTATTTTGTTTGGTGATTTGGGTTCAACTTTTCTGCTTGTGAACGAAGACGTTGCTCCAGCCCTCCCCTCCTTCTGGGTCCCTTTCCTCCCTCCCACTCCTCAGCGAGAATTGGGGTAAAGGGGAGTTCAAAAATTCTAGGTGAGCAGAAGTAGGGGGCAAAACAAATTCCATTCCTATTCCTTTTGTTTTCCCTCCTGAAGCCTTAATACAGCCCAGTTGTAGTCCTGCATATAAAAAATACAGTATCTCCTCTTGCCAAAGAGGGGCAACAAGCCACCATGAAAAACCCTCTTTAGCTGAGGGGTCAGTGTCCAAGCTCAGTTCCTGATTGTGGCACCAAGCCAGAGGCAGTTCTGAGCATTCATGTCCAACCTGAGGAAAAGAGACACAGTACCACCTGGCACCTGTTCCAAGAGGCAGTGAGTGACCTGAATCTCTGCACTCAATTCTGACCAACAGAATGAAATGGCAAAGGCTGGGGTGTGGCAGTGGGAGAGTGGAATAGGGGGAGATCAGAAGCTCCACAGTACCCATCTGGTATATTTTGCGTCCAGCATCGTTTCCCCCTTCTTTTTGTATCAAGTCCCAGTTGTCTTCTAGGGAATCTCCTTTCCCACCCTTAATCCCTGTGGTTTGGTAAAGATGACCCCCACCCTCACCCTGGCTCCAAGGGTACACATGTCCTGCAGGCCAAGTCATAGGGATTAACGCAGAGAAAGGGGGGTCCACAGCTGGATTACTGGCATTCAGGCTCTGGCTCTTCAGGCTGCATGGACTTTGTGCCAGTTACCTAAGTTTTCTGTGCTTCAGTTTCCTTATCTGTAAAATGGGTGTGTTAATAGTTCCTACCTCCTAGGGTTGTTAGGAGGAGCTCAGAACAGTGCCTGGCATCTAGAAAGCCCTCAGTTAATGTTAGCTGGTAATTTTATTACCTTCATATATGGGAGGGCAAGGGTATTTTTTAGAAAAGCAACGTTTCTTGTGGTTACACAGCAAGGAAGTCTGACTTAGGATGCAGCTGGGGGTTTCTAACTCCATGCCTTGCTGCCTCCCCACTTCCAAGGTGGTCATCCCCAGAGCACTTCAGGCTGTCATTGCTGCTGGTACACAGCCTGGAGTCTGTGTATGAGGCAGCAACACTGGGCCCTAGGACGGATCAGAGGATATATGTGTGTGTGTGTGTGTGTGTGTGTGTGTGTGTGTGTATCAATTTTTTGATAGATAAAAAGTGGGTGCAAATTGCCAACGAAAAGGCAGTTGCCAACCAGATGAGATTGATCCAGGGGAGTTGGCATCCTCTCCTGTGCCAACACTTCCTCAGCTCCCTCCTGCTGTTTTATTTTCTCACACTGCTAGGCCTGTAGTTTTCCAGAGCGCCACTGCATTTAAATCTATATTCTATTTTCTCTCCTAGAAAATGGGTCAGACCCAAGGCAGAGTTCACCAGGTGGGGTCCCAGAAGGTTTGGCTGCACCTCGCCTCCAGGAGCCTGGCTGTGCAGCCTGCCCCATGCTCCTCAAAGCTCCTCCAGGGATGTGGGGTGGGTGTTTGGAGGTATAAAAGTAGCAAGTGGGGGAATCTTGGACTTCTGCCTCTTGAAATGATCTAGCCCAAATGAGAGGTGAGGTGGGAGGGCTCCCCGAGTTGAGCCATATTCTGCAACAGCAGCAGATGGAGGGTCCTTTCTTTCCCCCACCTGGTTAGAAGAACCGCATCTCCCCAAATTGCAGGAAATTGTTTCCCTTGAACTTTAAAATAACCACGCTGAGCATACTCACTTGTGGCTGAAATTATTGTTGAATACACAGTAAGCGTCCGTGGGGCACTGAGTAGAGGTGGGACTGCCCTAATTTACTTCTTCCCTGGTTGTGATGCCAAAGAGAGTGGGTGAAGGGTGCCAGTGGCTTTCAAATCCTTCCTCTCTTGTGGCTTTCCCATCCCTGGTTTGAGCATGGCACTCCTAACAGAGGTGGCCCCAGCCTGGATCAGAACTCCTTTTCATCAGGGTCCCACCCCGAACAATTTCTCAAGCACCTGCCATCCACCGAGGTCAGTGTGAGTGCCAGAGCTTGGAAGACAGGAGAGGGAAGGTGCCAGTTTATATGGGCCAGTCCTCAGCCCTCCTGTCAAACAGCAGAAGGAACTAACATGAATTGAGCAGGTCCTGCCTAGAGCCTGTGCATTTGCTATTCCCCTGCCTGCCTGAACAGTCTTTGTCAGACATATGTAAGACTGGTCCTCACTTTCTTCAGGTATCCGTTCAAATGTTCCTTCTTAGAAAGATTTTTCTCTAACCACCTTCTCTAAAATAGGGACCCTCCTCTACCATTTACCCGGCCTTTCCTTTCTTTATGGCACTAATTACTATCTGACATTATAGGATGGGTCTGTTTTTATTGTTTAAATCCCCCTTGGAATATAAGCTTCATGAGAGCAGTATTGCCTGTTTCACTCACTGCTTGTATCCCCAGTGTTTAAGGAGGATCTGGCCTACAAGATGTGCTC